ATAGCGTTGTTGTGAGAATTAAACTATTGTGAGCTGATACATGTACAGTCTTAGCACAATTTCTGCCTCACAGTTAGGGTTCAATAAATATTAGTAAAGTGACTCTCTAGAACAGTGATTTTCAACCAGTTTGCCATGAAAGAATCTTAGGTATGCTGTGAAAAAAAAATTTTTTTTTCAGAGACAGAGTCTCATTTTATCGCCCTTGGTAGAGTGCCATGGCGTCACAGCTCACAGAAACCTCCAACTCCTGGGCTTAGGTGATTCTCTTGTCTCAGTCTCCTGAGTAGCTAGGACTACAGGCATCTGCCACAATGCCCAGCTATTTTTTTGTTGCAGTTTGGCCAGGGCCGGGTTTGAACCTGCCACCCTCAATAATGGGGCCAGCACCCTACCCACTGAGCCAGAGGCACTGCCCTGCTATGAATATTTTTAAAGATCATCAGTTAGGCTGGGCGCCAATAACTCAGTGATTACAGCACCAGCCCAGGCCTGCTTAACAAAAACAACAACAAAAAAAGATTATTAAATTATTTTCAAAAGAAGTTCAAAGCACAGTAAGTATATTATTTTTTTTTTTTAGACAGAGTCTCTTTGTCACCCCCCAGTAAAGTGCTGTAGCATCATAGCTCATAGCAACCTCAGACTTGGGCTCAAGCAATTCTCTTGCCTCAGCCTCCTGAGTAGCTGGGACTATAAGCACCTACCACAATGCCTAGCTCTTTTTTAGAGATGGAGTCTCTCTCTAGCTCAGTATGGTCTCAAACTCATGAGCTCAGGCAATCTACCCATCTCAGCCTCCCAGAGTGCTGAGATTACAGGTGTGAGTCACTGCACCCAGCATTTTTTTTTCCCCCAGTTTCTTGGGCAGGGCCAGGTTTGAACCCATCACCTCTGGTATATGGGGCCGACACCCTACTCCTTTGAGCCATAGGTGCCGCCCTCCTTATTTTTTTTGTTTGTTTTTTTGTTTGTTTTTGGCCAAGACTGGGTTTGAACCCACTACCTCTGGCATATGGGGCCGGTGCCCTACTCCTTGAGCCACAGGCATAACCCCTTTTTTTTTTTTTTTGATCAACATAATTTAAGTGCCACAGAAGTTTAACTATACATTCAAGTGTGCCATAAGATAAAAAATGTTGAAAAATGCTGCTTCAGAAAATAGTTGAATGCTGGAGTATAGACATGATAGGGAAGCCTTGACACCCAAGTAGGGGGCATAAGATGTAGAAGGACCAGGTGTGAACACTAGACTGTGGGCTAGAAGGTGTAGGAAGATGTTGGGAATGTCACCAGCTGGAATAGAATAGCACTGGGGACTCCCCATGGAGCTGCCACAGGAAGGGGGTTGGAGGAAGCACTGTGATCAACTGGATATGGAACACCGGTCTCTGTGGCCATTAGTCATTACTAAAACTCTCCCTAGGGCTCCATCCCCATTCCGGATACCCTTTTCTCTTCTCCTTATTTCTCCCATTCCAGTCCCCAGGAGCCCCTGCCTGACCCTGGTGACTGTGCCCCTTGGCGACTTCTTCCCTGCTCTTAAGTTTCCCAGTGCCGGCTTGGCGCCTGTGGCTCAAGCGGCTAAGGC